GAAATTTGATGTTTTATTACATCTCCACTGGGCATCTCACACACACACACACACACACTGGGTTTGGAGGAAGAACATTTACTACTTCCCGCAGTCTGATGCTAATGCGCTTCTGTTAAATATTTCACAGTGAATGCACGGGCCTCGTCTGTTCAGCTACAGTGTGTGGTTTCTTGTCAGCGAGCATTAGACTTCGAGAATCGCATTCAGTCTGACAACTGTTCCCATTTGCATACGCATATTTAAAAAAAGGTCCATCTCTTCCCCTCACATTGCGCCCTATTTTCTTGAGATATCATTTTAAAGTGGATACTGAACATTTCATTTCATACAGAATCAGTAAGTGGCCACAGGATTATACTGTGTTATGAAGGGAGAACACCGAAATCTAGAGCACTTCTATTGAGACAGACTACTTCAATGAGAGAAATTTAAATGTAAGATGTAATGCAAGCTTCAAACACAGTGTGAGTGTAAAGCATAAAGCAAAGTTATATGGAGCAGAAACAAGAGCTCATGAATACTGATCAGACCCAGTCAAACTATAAGACTCATGCGTGGGAGAATCTCAGCAAACCTGTCAAGAACTTGTCCAGGTCATATTTTACCACTAAACCGCAAGGAAGAAATCCTATTTTACACATGGAGATTCAAGTTTCACTCATTCTCAATAGGGATCCTTATTATAATGTTGTTGTTTTTCAATGGCGTAAAAGGAATCTCTCTAATAACTGATACATGGGACAAAACATATCACAGTTTCCCTGCCAATTGTATAATTTATAGATCATTAATTTAGTCAAAAATACTAGCCTATACACTCACCGGCCACTTTATTAGGTACACCTTGCTAGTATCGGGTTGGACCCACTTTTTTCCTTCAGAACTGCCTTAACCCTCTGGTGTTCTTCGTTTAGGAGTCATGTCCTGAGCCTTCCCGGTCAGAAGTGACCGGACACTTAAAAATGAAACTTCCTCCATCCCAGTAAAAACCAATGCAATTTATTTTTGTTCTATAATATTTATTCTTTTTAATTTCGTATTTTGAGACAATTTGATTGAATTTATTAATATTTATGCAATATTTATGGTCTATTTGTGCCATGGAAAAATATATGTATTTTTCTATATGTATATTATTATTATTTTTTTTAATTTATTAATGCAGTATTTTAGTTTAATATAGAAGCTAGGCCTTCAGAAAAAAATATATTTTTTGAAGAAAATTAGCACCATCTGGTTACAGTATAGAGAAAAAGCGTAGAACCATGGTGTAACCACTAGATGGCATGCACAGCTCTCTATGGGAGAGGCATTTGAATTGCCCAGCTGTTTATGAACACATTTACTTTTTTTTTGGGGATTTGAATATATATACTGTATATATTTAAAACAATCTCAAAAACGATTTCTTATAAAGTTTTCTTTTTTTGAAATAGTGATAAAAAAGTGTTTCCCATTCATTTCCTATGGGGGTCATTTTTGACCGAAGACCAAAATTGTGACAAATTTTTTTATGACCACTTAGCATCCTTGGATCATTGTGATCACACTGTGATCATAAAGTCATGGACATGGTCAGCAACAATACTTAGGTAGACTGTGGCGTTTAATCGATGCTCAATTGGTACTAAAAGGCCCAAAGTGTGCCAAGAAAATCTCCTCCACACCATCAGAAGCCAGAACCGCTGACACAAGGCAGGATGGATCCATCCATGTTGTTTATGCCAAATTCTGAGCCGACCATCTGAATGTCAGGAATCAAGACTCATCAGACCAGGCGATGTTTTTACAATCTACTGATGTCTGATTTTCGTGAGCCCGTTGTCGTCTGGTGTGTGTGTGTTGTGCTGCTGAAGCTCTTCTTCAAAGTTCAGCATGTTCAGAGACGCTCTTCTCCAGAGCTCGGGTGTAACGCGTGCTTATTTGAGTTACTGTTGCCCTTCAATCAGCTCAATCCAGTCTGGCCATTCTCTGACCTCTGGCACCAGGAAGGCATTTTCTCCCACAGAACTGCCGCTCACTGGATATTTCCTCTTTTTTGGCCCATTCTCTGTAAACCCTATCTGGCTGTGCATGAAAATCCCAGTAGATCAGCAGTTTCTGAAGTACTCAGACCAGCTCGCCTGGCACCAACAAACATGTCATGTTCAAAGTCACTTCCTTCCCCGTTCTGATGCTCACTTTGAACTTCAGCAGATCTGTCTACATGCGTAAATGCATTGAGTTTCTGCCATGTGATTGGCTGATTAGATGTTTGCAGTAAAGCAACACCAAGTAACTTTTCCTCGATGGTCACCCTACAGGTTGGAAGCGGAATTGTCCATTACCGCTAGGGTTGGGTACCGAAACTCGGTGCCAATAGGGAACCGGTTCTAACGTAAACGGTAGTAACCAGACCGAATAAGAATGAACATTAGGTGCCTAAGTCTCTGTGTCATGAGGCGCACACACGCAAAGTCTCTCGCTCTCTCCCTCTCCGACTATACGGTTTATTGAAGCACTGTCCGTTCTGTCTTACATGCACGCTCTTGATCGTTTTCTTAAAGGGATACTCCACTTTTTTTGGAAATAGGCTCATTTTACCACTCCCCCAGAGTTAAACAGTCGAGTTTTACCGTTTTCGAACCCATTCAGCCGATTTTTTGATATCAGAAAATTCTATTCTTCTAAATATCAGAAAATCTGCGGAATGGATTCGAAAACGGTAAAACTCGACTGTTTAACTCACTGTAAAAAAATATTGATGGTTTAACTTAAAAACGTAAGTAACCTGGTTGCCTTAAAATTTTAAGTTCATTGAACTAGAAAAAGTGAGTTAATACAATGAAGTAGATTAATTTAACCCTCAGAAACTCAAAATTATATGTTATCTGAACTAAATAAATTATTTAAGTTGATTTGACAAAAGAAAAAATTTTGTGATTACTACACTGTAAAAAATTATTGTTGGTTTAACTTAAAATTTTAAGGCAACCAGGTTACTTTAAGTTAAACCAACAATATTTTTTTACAGTGTAGAAATCACAACATTTTTTCTTTTGTCAAATCAACTGAAATAATTTATTTAGTTGAGATAACTTATTATTTTGAGCTTCTGATGGTTAAATTAATCTACTTCATTGTATTAACTCACTTTTTCTAGTTTAATGAACTTAAAATTTTAAGGCAACCAGGTTACTTACTTTAAGTTCATTGAACTAGAAAAAGTGAGTTAATACAATGAAGTAGATTAATTTAACCATCAGAAGCTCAAAATAATAAGTTATCTCAACTAAATAAATTATTATAAAGTTGATTTGACAAAAGAAAATATGTTGTGATAACAAATCTTGAAAATATTTTTTACAGTGTGGTAAAATGAGCCTATTTCCAAAAAAAGTGGAGTATCCCTTTAAGTACCGTTTCAAGAACCGTTTAGGCACCGGAACCAGTTAAAAAATACCGAGTAGCTACTGGTATTGGATAAAACCCAACCGATACCCAACCCTAATTACCGCTGTCGTAAATTTAGCCTACCGTAGTCGCACGCGCACGCTCACTGTTTATCAGCACCGGCTTTGGAACGAACGACGTCTACAGACAAGGTAGAGTTTGTTGCATGATTTCATGAAAGTATGATGTATTGCGACATCAGTAACGAAGAAAAACAAAATAATGACACAATATTGTAACGCTTGACGTAAAGCAAGTCAAATATGTAGTTTTCTTATGTCTCTGGCAATCATAGGACCACAGATATAGGACCACAAAGCGAATCCAGAAGCCTTTCACCCTGTTACGACTTTGGAAACATTATTTTAAGGTAAAAAATCTTACTTAGTGTTGCTTTAATGAGCAGTTGAACAGATGCACCTAATAAAGTGGCCATGTTTAATATATATTATATATTCTATATGTTTGCCTGTTAGAATGCGTAAATTGGAAGAAACTCCAAAAGTCTTTACAAATAGACATATTCTTTAAGAAAAAATCTTATTTATTTTGATTCTGGGATTAAAAATGTCTTGAATCAGTTCTTGACGGGTTTCATGGGTGTATTTCTGTATTTTTTGTGTTTTCTGCGACATTCTCACACACTTGCTGATGGGAATCGATAGAATAAAATGCAGTCGGAGGAAAGCAAAGCAAGAGAACAAGAGACAGAAAAGATAATCAGAAGGGATAAAATGGGAGGATCACTGGAGATTTCAGTCTGTACTACTCGCTGAAACACACACACACACACACACACACACACACACATACCTCTAGTTCAGGAGTGATGAGCAAGTTTTCTACACTATGCAAATGGACTTTCTGATTATTGCATCATGTGATTAAATGAGGCTGTCATCTCCAGCTGTGTCTCAGGAAGTGTTATTGGACGTGATGAAGTCTTAACCAGCCAATCACAAGGCTGATTTGTCATGTGGAGGCTGTGGGCGTTGTTGCCGTGGCAGCATGACATTTCACTTTCGTGTTTGTGTTCGGCTTCAGTCGCAGTCGTAACTTTATTCCTCAGTCTCTGCATTTCTCTGAGGTTAGAAAATCTGTTTTGAGATTACGAATGTTTATATTAATTATATGTACATATTGTATATATTATGTAGATATGTAGCCTATATAAAATTTTATAAATGTATATATATATATATATATAATATTATATATGATATATAATTTATTTGCTTTATTCACATTTCTAAAATATGTAATAAATTATACTCAGATTATAATTTATTATATATATTTTAGGAATTTATATATATATATATATATATATATATATATATATATATAATCTTATATTACATATAATTTATTTGCTTTATACACATTAAATGTAAATGTGTATGTGTATACAGATATATATATATACACAAAAATATGTTTATATGTTACATATATTAACATATAACGTAATTATTTATATGCAGACTAGATACAAGGAAATCATTGGCCATGTGCCGAGCATCTCCCTTGCCGAGTGTCGTGATCATGTGTTGTTTGTTTTCCAGTTGTCGCACCAGTAACCGGAAGAGTCTGATCTTGACCAGTACGTCGCCCACTCTTCCTCGGCCTCACTCTCCTCTACCGGGACACATAGGTGAGCGCTCACCGTTGATCACATGACCTGCTCCGGTGTCTCAGTCCACAGGTGTTGTTCTCATCCATGCCTCTGTCCATCTCACAGGAAGCAGTCCGCTGGACAGTCCCAGGACCTTCTCCCCCAGCGCACCTGCACACTTCTCTTTTGCATCATCCAGAAGGTAAATAAATGAACAAACAACAGCCTTTTTTTTTGCCATGTTGGTCTCAAATGGGTTTTCGGTTTTGTCACCTGACCGTTTTTGAGGTTTTTGTAATACCTGGAGAAAGCTCTCCGCTCTGGTTCTCATTCATCTCAATGACAGTTATCTGGCTGGGACGCTCTGAAGTGTCAGAATAAAGTAGTGTCTCTTAACCGTTTAGTACCACGAATGCCACTCTCATTTTTGGAAGAGTCTCTTTCTGTCTAATGATGCCAAAATGTACACTGACAAATTGACTTCTTTACAAAGGTTGATTTGGGTGCTTCTGGATGGATCAGATTTGAAGAGCACATTTGGTTTGTGTGCAGTGTGAAGAAAGCCTGACTGAAACTGCACATTCACTCGATCTTCTTTCACTGAAGTAGAGCTTTAATCTTCAACATCTGTATCTAAGGAACACCCAGAGCAATCTCAAAATCAATACAGACTTGGATCTTGCTATTTTTTTCTTTATATTTCGAACAAGCAATAAAAAAAGCTCTTGTAATATTAACAATACACGCCATTTTGACTTTATGACACACAATTGCGACTATATCACGCAGTTCGGTGTAAACTCGCAATTGTGAGATAAAAAGTCGCAATTATATTTTAAAATGTTTTATTTTGTGGCTTCCATAGTAACTTTAGAAGTTTTAGGTCCGTGTATCATCTGATCATTTGATTCCCATTTTGAAATGAAATAAGCAGAAATGAGAAAACGGCATCTTTATTTGTTTTTTCAGTTTTTCAAAAAAAAAAAAACCCAAAAAAACGACTTGATTTTTCGTTTTTTAGTTCACAGGCAAAAAACGAATACATGACTTCAAAATTCGTTTTCCACATGTGGGCGCCGGTCATGAGACGCCCCCTTCTGCTGATTGTCAAGTAAATAACTTAATTTTGGAAAATTCTAATTCCAAATATTAATTATTGAGTTGGGCCAGCTTAATTTTGAACAATTTAAATTGCGTTGGGCCAACTTTATTTTAGAAAATTTAAATTCTAAATATTAACTATTGAGTTGGGCCAGCTTAATTTTGAACAATTTAAATTGCGTTGGGCCAACTCAATTTTAGAAAATTTAAATTCTAAATATTAACTATTGAGTTGAGCCAACTTCATTATGAACAATTTAAATTGAGTTGGGCTAACTTAATTTTGGTCGTTTGGTCTTGTACTCTTGATACTCAAGTACTTTTAAAAACAAGTACTTCAGTACTTTTACATAAGGAGACATCTCACTGTAGTACTTTTACTTGTACTTGAGTAAAATTTAGCCAGGGGTATCTGTACTTTTACTCAAGTAATAAAGCTGTGTACTCTGCTCAGCTCTGCGTTTTTGTCATTAATCCGACGTCTTTATTAAAGTTAGTTCAGAGAGGCTCTTCGTTGTGAAGATCAAGTCTGTTTGTGAGCAGCACACATCATTCCTCAGCGAACGACAGCCCGTCACACAGACGTTTGTCTGAAAGACGAGTGCGAAGGAGAGATTGAGGGACGAGAGACAGACGATTGATCCGCACGTTCTTTCCTGTCTGACGCGAGGGCTAATATTGGATTTTGTCCATATAAATCTCGTGCAGTGAGACGGTTGCACAGCATAATTCATCAATCCTGTCCAAAGCACAGAGCTTCTGCTCACAGCAAACACTGGAACATGAAATATAGTGCCTGACAAAGAAGACACAATCCAGCCCAGTGCAACAGAACATCAAGACATAAACATTGCGTGTATGATCAAAAAGTCTCATTTTTGAGTCCTCTTCTCATGCTTTCAGTGCGTGGAACCTTTGGATCTTCTCTCTTCTAACGTTGTGGGATGACAGTTTTAATGACCCCACTGGGAACGTTGCCCGGCACCGAAATATGCACTAAACAGTGTAGAAATGTGATGGTTGCCTAGCAACCGCATAAGAATGCCGCCACATGGACTTATTAACTCTACCCACAAAGCACTGTGATACTGGGTCACATTTAATGTTTTACACAAGAAATATCAAGTTCCATTGTTCAGCCAAGCCTCAAAGTCACGCCATTGGTCGAGCGCATGTTTCTAAACACATAACCGACACACTTTACTCTTAATTTGTAAAAAGCTGAAATAAATTATTCTCTACTGTTTGAAAATTTGGGGTCGGTGAGAGTTTTTAATGCAAGTCTACATTTATCTAATAAAAAAATACTGTAAATACTGTTATATTGGATTAATTATTATTATACATTTT